GTGGCACAAAGGGTTAAGGCACAGCGCTTCAGAGCTGTTCACAGCCACTGCGCACGAGTTCGATCCCCGGCCAGGGAGAGACCCACAGGGCTCAGCAGACCTCTCCTGACCCGCCCGCTGCTCCCCTCAGCAGTGGACTTTGTCAGTGCCTGTTCTGCTCCCGGCTCTGTCTCTGGTGAGTCCTCTCAGGGCCCCCGCACCTCTGGCCTGTACCCAGTTCTGTATGCACAAATAAATAAATCTTAAAAAAAAACCTTAAACACTTTGAAGAAGGCCTTTGAACTAAATACTCAGACAATACCAGGCTGGGCCGCAGTGGTGCTAGGGATGGCTCTTTCTGGAGAGAGGACAGGACTCAGTCAAACATCAATAGAGCGAGGGGGCTTGCCTTTTTGACAAATTGTAACAGGCACTACAGCTCTTGTCCAGACTGGTGTGTTGTCAGACCAACATTTCTGTGTGTTTTCAAAAGTAGACACAGAGAAACTTACGGACATAATCTCCAGGAAACAGCACTGGCGTTTGTGTGTAAGTATTCAAGCCAAGAAATTAATCTTTCATAGAACAGTATGTTAGTGCCTGCAGGAGCTGTGTGTGGGTATAGGTGCAGCTACTCCCGGCACGTAAATCCAAAGGGCAGAAAGTCAGCGCGTGATAAAGCAAAGCTCACGATGGGAATCACCCCCACTGGAGTGATGGGGGGCGGCTTTTAGGGGTTCTACGTACTATCTTGACGCTTCTCTGTAAGTTTGATGTTATTTTATAAAAAGTTGAAAATGTCCCCACCGCTTGATCTAAATCTGTCAAGCGCGTGCCAGAGCTTCTGGAAGCCCGCATCAGGACACCGGCCCTTTCCGCCCCGGGGGCAGCCAGGGCCGCCTGAGGGTGGCCCGGAGAAGGCTCTTCCCAGGCTCTAGTTAGCACAGGCCTGGGGCTCGGGCTGCTCTTTGGGGGACCCACTGGGGTCGGTGGCCAACCCCGCAGCTGGGGACGAAGGAGCCACACGCCAGGAGCCTCGAGCTGGGTGTTTCTCTGCCCTCCTGCATGCTGTGGAAGCAGCCCAGATAAAACAACTCAGGACTTTGAAATTTTAGGGGAAACAAAGTTTTAATCAGCCTGCCATCTCATTCATTGTTCGGAGATGAAAAGAGCGGAAATCAACACTCCCCTCAAAATGGAGCTGCTGAGAACTTGTTAGGTCCTGAGTGTTTGCATGGAGCAGGATTTTTTAGACCTTCTTGCTCCCGTTTCTCTCGCTCTCTCCCGCTTTCTTTGTAAGCTGCTTCTCTGCAGCCTCCTCTTCTCTTTCTTTCATCCTAGTAGGTGAGGGTAAGTCACGGGGCCACGGAGAGCAGCGCTCGGGCCACTTTCTGACCGCTGGCCCCGGCGGGCCAGGGCCCGGCGAGACGGGCCGGGCGAGCACACCTCTGAGCCGAGGCCCGGGTGACGCAGGTCTGCCCCAGGGTGCCCTGCGGTGCCCGCTGACACATCCCCGACTGGCCCTGTTCGTGCTGCTGGATTCAAAGCAAAACGTCGTTTCTTCCAGAAAACAAGTAATTTCCTGAGAATGAGTAATTAAAGCCTGGAACCCTGAGGAATGTTGGGGCTTCCATTAGTGGGACTTCCTTCGCATGGAAAACAGGCATGTGGCCATGAACCTGCAGCCCGTACTCCCCGGCGCTGAGCGAGGGCTTCTGCGCAGCCCATGCCTCTGTGGTCCCCAGAGCTGGCCGGTGGCTTCATGTTAGTTATTTCGACTCTCGAGAATGTTTCAACAGCTTTAGACTTTGGGGTTGCTTAATTCTAGGGCTTTTGCACTTTCAACTTGTTCATGGCGGAGCCAGTAAAAAATTCTACGTGTTTGGAGGACAGGATGAACGGTCCTGGAAACTTCACTTGAGGCGTTGAATAAAGGCAGGGACAGTCGGCAAGCCAGGCCTATTCTTTAACGCCGTCACCTGTCAAGGTGAGCGGGCCCACCTGCGGTTTCCTTCTGGAAGAAAGGAGCAGGGGGAGGCGGCTGGCAGGTGCGGGAGGTGGGTGCCAGGACCTGGCACCACCGCCCGCCACGCCAGCCCCCAGGGGTTCGGAGCCACGCGGTCCACCCACATCTGCATCCTGCCGGGGCTGGGTCACACACGCACACCAGTCCACACCTGCTGTGCAGCCCAGGCCCAGAGCTGGATGCTTTTTTAAAAAAAATTAAAAAAAAAAAAACCCTCCTGGCTGCCTATCATCAAGAAAAACAACATTGTTTTCAGGGTCTCTTATCTCTCCACTTCCAAATATCCTGTTTCTTCGGGCTGGGCGGTCGGGACCAATAGGAACCTCTTCCTGCCATTGGCTGACTTCATTTCCCAGACTTAGCACAATCTCATCCGCTCTAAACAACCTCATCAAAACTCCTTTCTGGGCAGAGAGAAGCGATAATTATTATTAACATTTATTAACGATCAATAACCTTGATCGCGTAATGGCCAGCACCATCAAGGTAAGGAGAGGGTCCCTCTCGTTTGACCAAATCTTGCCCCTGTGGCTCTTTTCTTTGGCTTCCTTTATCGAGGCAGATAAGTCGGTGTTGGGTAACACCCCCACTGCCACAATAGAGGACAACAAGATTTCCTTTGCACTGCCTAGTAAATTTCCTTTTTCCTACTCCAACCATCCGCAAGGCTTAAAAACTTCAAACTCAGAAAAAAATTGGGGTTTCTAAATTCACAGTTGAGGGCTGTGGATGACTTTCGCAAAGGCTTTGCCGAGCGCTTCTGAATTTTTGTTTTCTTTGACTCTCCCGAGCGGTGCCTGGATGCGTGTCTGCTGGGAGGCCATGGACTTGGAGAGGCCGGAGGGTAGGGTCGGAGGAGGAGATGGGCTTGCAAGGGCTGCCCTTGGGGTGCCCTGGGTTAACGCTTTCGTATCGGGGCACCGGCTCGCCCCAGTGGGCATGAGCAGATGCCGCCAGCGGCCCTTGGGTGTGGGCATGCAAAGGTGACTTGATTTTCGGGACCTTCAGGCTGAGAGCGCGCCTTCTCCTGACTCAGATGGCGGTAGCCCGTCTGTTCGGCTGTGTGCTGACTTCCAATAAAACACCTTCTTCTCTGGGCTGCGAGTATACTTTCTTCCCCACGGTGCTGGCTTTGTGGGTAGCGGGGAGCCAGGGCCGGTGGCATGTGGGCTGATGTGTTTTTATTTGCAAATGTTTCTACAAGATAGCAGGTTGGGAGGGACATGGGGAAAATCCTGCCAGGCGGAACCCTAAAAGTTCCTTTCCTTTCGTGGAAATGGAGCCGCTGTGATGGTCAATGCAAGTCATTGGCTTAGAGACCGAAGTGAGTCGGGGAAATGTTTTCAAGGCCTGTGTGTGTGTGTGTGTGTGTGTGAATGTGAGAAACAGCAGCAAAAACAGATACTGAAAGGAAAAATACTGCTTTGTACATTGCCTCTTTAGTTTTGGGCCATAGAGCAAAGAAGCCCATGGTTGCGCTTTGAAGGGGTTTTAGTTCATTGGAAAGCTCACGGAGCTAGAAGTTTGCTTAGAATTGAGCCAAGGCAATTCAAAAATCCTGCTTAATTTGGTATTTTTGTAATTTGAGATGTTTGTATGAGAGAATTTGATTAACACCTCCATCTACACTGTTTTAGAAGTTCTGTTCAGCTTTATTTCCCAAGGCGTATTTTAATTGTCAAGGTATGCTCAGTCTGGATAAAAAGTGTATTTATCAAAGACTTTTCCCTTATAGAGATTTGGCTTTCTTTGTCTTCAAGGGCTGCAACCCGATAAAATAGGCCTATCATGGAAAAGGATTTTCGCACTGGGGTTTGAGGCGCTTCCATTTTAACTGTACAAACAAACTGCTTGGCTTTATAATCCTAAATGTTATTCATTTTGTTCTTATTTTCACCCTTCACTGGGTCCGCGTTTCAGAGCAATTAAATCGTATATTCTTAATAGCTCTTGAGTGGCTTCAATGCAATGGTGTGAGTGCGCAGTTAAAACATCACTGGATCTCAGGACATTTGTAATTTGAATATGGGTATGTTTGCAAACATGCAAACTGTTACACTGTTTAATTTAAAATGCACATTTAAGGTAGTTTTGAAGTTTGAACGTTTTGTGCTTCAGAGTAGATTTTGAGAAATGGTTTTCATACTTGTTTGCACCTTGTTTACGCCACTTTATGGCTTGCTTGAGAGGTATGTGGTATGTATCTCGAGTGCGCTTTTAAAATGGCTTCAAGTGACTTTTTTTTTAACCCTCTGTTAAAATAAAATAACTCTGCTTTATAGGTAACTTCCTTAAGACTTGTTGCTGTTAGACTTCCTGAGTAATGAGATGATTTTATGGACTTGTTTATAGAGTGGAGAAAGGGGACCTTCAGTCTGCTGAGTAGTTTTAATTATGTTAGTGCAAAGCTCAAATTAGCATAGGGAAAATTATGGCTGTCGGGTGGATTTAGGGAACAGTCTCTCATCCAGACAACTTCCAGGCTCAAATGCACTCTGCTTTTTGGTGTTTAAGTAACTGAGTCAATTAGTCGATTAAGTATCAGATGCACTGAATTTGTTAAGTAGGACTCTACCTCTGAGTGGGCTTTTTCATCCATATTAGTGAGCCTTGAGCAGGTCTGTGAACTGCTAAATGTTCTCCCGTCTTTGCGGTTCTCACTGTTATTTTCCTTGGTAATTTGGAACTGGGAACCTAATGTTTCAGTTGGAAGAAGTAAGGGAATTTTAAGAGGTTCTGTGAGAATGCCCGTGTGTCGCTAAGTGTCTGTGGATTTTCAACTCAGATGAAGACCTCCTGTAGGAGGTGTGAGGAGACACCGAGGTTTCATAGGTCATGTCCCCGTGGGATTCGCAGCCGGTGGGTGCCTCCACCTGACCACCCCGGAGGGCACTGGCCCCCCTCCCTCCAGCCTAGCCGTGTTGCTCTGGAGTGCAAGGGGTCTGTCCTTAGCCACAGAACTTGAACTTGATCTTCCTACAGCAGATGGGACTTTAATCCAGCCCCTCAAAGACTTCCCTATCCTTCTTGATGCCGTGGGCCCCTGGGGAGGCCAGGTGAAGCCTGCAGTCCCAGAACAAGGCTTTCCAATGCTTGAAATGCTGTGCATAGAATTACAGGGAAGCCAGCTCTATGGAAGACCACTCCATCTTTGGACTCCTTGGGTGGCCCATGAGCCCAGGTTAGCACCCGTTATCTCAGCACTCAGAGATCTTTAGTCTTCAGACTGGGAACGTGGTGATTTTCCGTTACACAGAGATCTGACCTTGCAGCACGGGGCAACCAGCAGCCAGTGCAGGCAGCTATTGCCAGGCCTGATGAGGGCCCAGTTGCGGTTTGAATTAGTTGCTGAAAGAAGTTGCTTTCTTGGATCTCACAGTGGCTGGAGGATTTGATGGTAACTGAGACGTGAAATGCTAATTTCCAAGCAGGTAGCTATGCCTGTACCCCGCCTTGCCCGCAGCAGGCACGGGTGTCGCTGTTTGCCCATGCGAAGGAGGCATTAAAAGTGAAGGATTACAGTCAAGGTGAAAAAAGGCACAAAATGAAGAATGATGTGAAACTTAAAAAAAAAAACACTAAGGGAAGAAAACGCCTCTCCTTGTACGATCTGCAAGGGGTGGTACCACGCTCTAGAGCCCCGGGCTCTGGCCGAGGCTGTGCCCGTGACCCACGGGCCTGCGTGGATGTGACTCGCGTTACCTGGTAGCTTCGGGGCCTCCGCAGCAGTGAAGACTGGCAGCCGTCACGGGGGGCCCCGGGGGGCACAGCACCTGGCCCTGCGTGCTGTGTGTGCATGCACACGTGTGTTCACACGTGTACAAACATGTGTGTGATGTGTTGTGCCTGTGCGCACGTGGCCCCCACACCCGCAGCGCCAGGCTCCGTGGCCCCGGAAAGAGAAGCAGTAGGAATTTGCAGCTATTTCCCCCATTGAATACACCCGTGCTGGACTGCAGTGCTCTCAGAGAATGTTCTGGAACTCGGAACCGTTTCTCCGTTACCTCTTTTTTCTTTAAAGTGGCTCCTTCTTTTTTTTTTCTTAAGAGGGCTTTCTTTCAAAATACCCACAAAGACACAATACGTGTGCTTGTTCATGGGGACTGTGTAATGAGCAAAATAAGTCAGAAGCAGAAAGACAAACACCGGATGATTTCACTCATGAGTGCAATGGAGAGAAACAAAACAAAGGAACAGACAAAACTAAGCCAAGAAAAATCTGAGAAATCTGCAGAAGTGAGGCTTTCAGGAGGGCAGGGAGTGGGGAGAGGGGGTGCAGCGGACGGTGGGGATCATGGTGCCGTACGAACCTGTATACCCCTAAGTCATGAAAACCACTGTTGCCTTGGTTTTAAAAAATGCAATAAGACTTTTTTTTAATTAAAAAATAAGTGAGTGGCACAGCTATTGCTGATAGAGCAGGAACACATTCCTCTGTGCGGGTAGTTGAGGCGAGATTCCCTCTGCGGCCGTGGGGACGAGGCAGCAGGCGCCCGGCATCTGAGAAGCGGCAGATGCACTGATTTCATAGCTGATGCAGAAGAAACGCGCAGGAGAGGTGGTGGCGACGCCGGCCTGGGTGTGCGCCGAGCGCAGACCCTCCGTCCCGCTGTCTGACAGCTCTGCGGACCTCCCCAGGCCGGGCAGCTCAGCGGGGCTTTCTCGGACCCGGCACTCGGCACCCACAGCCTGCTCTGAGCCACGGGACGGGGCGGCTGTCCTCAGCCGGGCCCCTGCGCTCACCCCGAGGCTGACCTGGCGTTTGCACCCCCGCTGGTTCCGCCACGGTGGCATGGCCTCCCCTGCCTCGCCGCGGTCTGCTGACCCGTGGGCGCTGCTGGCCCCTCTCCTGTGGGAGACGGGTCTGCCCAGCCGCTGGCGGGCGCTTGTCCGTGCCAGATGCCCTCGGACCATCTGAGGTCATTTTGCCTTTTCGGGTCCGTGGCCTTGTCCTCATCGCTGCCCGTTCTCTCAGTTTCTGTTGCTCTGCTCTGCCTGGGTGTTTTGGGGAGACGGGGAGACTACCCGGGGTCACTTGTGCAGCTTCCCCACGGTGCCCATGTAGGGCAGGCGCCCTGGGCAGGGAGCAGGCGCCGGGCAGGCCCGGGGGGCGGAGGCAAGCGTGAGGCACCGTGGAGGCTGCTCAGAGTTCAGGGGCGGCCGTTTGTGGGGCCGAAGGGTGACACACCCCGGCCCGGTGGATACCTGCACGATCTGTGTCCTCCTTGATGTGAAAGATGCACCTTGGCCTAGAGCCCTCTCGCTGTCGACAAAATCCCACACGGACACAGGCGGCCCCAAGTGGCCCTGAGCTCGGTCGGGGGACAGTTCACACTGTTGTGCACCCCGCGAGCCCCGGTCGTCCTCCGCCCCTCCCCCACCCCGGCCCGCTGCCCGCTTGGCCAGACATTCCCCGTGATGCTGAGCTGTGCCCACAGCCGCGTTTTCGGCCTAATTTAGTCCCTCTAAGAGAAGCACCAGTGCAG